TGTGCTCTGCTTGGGAGGAGGTAAGGAGGACAGTGTGGATGTGTAAGGAGAGTGTGGATGTTTATTGGAAGGAGAAGGGCAACAATCTGCAGGGCCCTGCTGTATACTCACACCTAGCAGAAGAGGAATGAGAAAGAGAGAGAGAGCTCTAACTGCTTCCACAAAATTATTAACCCTTGTGCTCCAGCTCTGCTCCTCGAACAGCTGAAGCAAGAGAAACAATACACTTAACCAATGGAGCACCAGCCAAAGACATTACATCATCGGTCAGCACCGTCATTGGCTAATAATTCCTAGAAGGCAAAATTTTGCTTCTAGGTGCTTAACCCTTTCATGTTCATCAGAGCAAAGAGGATTTGATCTAAATCAACACTTCCTGAACTTGCTTTTATCAGAATCATCCAGGGTGCTTTTTAAACATACAGATCATCATTTTTTCATTTCAAGCCATCTAAATCAGAACCAACAAAGAGAGCATGGATAACTGTATTTTAAATAGTGTACAGAGCGTGGCAACCACTGATCAACTCAGAAAGTCTTCCTCTCCAAACAAGATAACATTTTTCTGAGCATTTTTCACGTGTCCAGCACTTTGCTACATCATCTCATTTATTTCCTGCACTGAACAATGGCTCCATATCCCAAGTATACAAAGTCGGGTTAAGAGCGGATAAGTCGCCAGGCGCGGTGGCTCACGCTTATAATCCCAGCACTTTGGGAGGCCGAGGCAGGCGGATCACCTGAGGTCGGGAGTTCGAGACCAGCCTGACTAAAAATATAAAAAAATTAGCCGGGCATGGTGGCGCACGCCTGTAATCTCAGCTACTCCGGAGGCTGAGGTAGGAGAATCGCTTGAACCTGGGAGCCGGAAGTTGCGGTGAGCCGAGATCACATCATTGTACTCCAGCTTGGGCAACAAAAGTGCAACTCCATCTAAAAAAAAAAAAAAAAAAAAGAGAGAGAGAGAGAGGATAAGTACTCCTGTAATCCCAGCACTTTGGGAGGCCAAGGTGGGTGTATCACCTGAGATCAGGAGTTCGAGACCAGCCTGACCAACATGGTGAAACCCCATCTCCACTGAAAATACAAAAATTAGCCGGGCGTGGTGGCGGGTGCCTGTAATCCCAGCTACTCCAGAGGCTGAGGCAGGAGAATCACTTGAACCCAGGAGGCGGAGGTTGCAGTGAGCCGAGATCACGCCACTGCACTCCAGCCTGGGTTCGACAGAGCGAGACTCTGTTTCAAAAAAAAAAAAAAAAAAGAGAGAGAGAGAGAGGATAAGTCACTTGAGCAAGAGATGGAGCCTTGCTTTGAAAGACGGGCTGTTTGGACCCGACCCTGCTACCCTTTTGAAGCTCCCGCTCGAAGTCAAACCAAGCCATTTATTTACTTATTGCCTCTAGAGTTACAGAAAATATACACTCTTGAGTTGGAAAATGCCAGGAGCCTGGGAGGAATGGGGAAATGAAGACAATGGTGGATTATTCTCTTTCTTGGGCTCATTCCCTCTGCTTCTGTTGCAAATTCAGCTTAACCATCACTGTCTCTTGGAAGCCTTCCCCAACCACCCGCCAACCACCAAACCAGGGATAGATGCCCCTGCTCTGTGCTCTTAAGGTCTCCTGGAGTCGTGGGCTGCAGTTACTTGTTTACTGAATAAACCCCATGAGATTAGAGCTATGTCGACTTTCTCCACTAACATATACCTGGACAGCGCCTGCCACGTGCGAATACTCAATCATGACTGAAAGAAGGGAAAGTGTTTGCCAAAGTTCTAAACGGCATCACACTGAGATGGGAAAGACAAACGATTGGAAGTCTGGAGACTCACAGCAACAAACTGATTCTGGGCAAGTTCGTTTGGACAGGGGAGAGGGGGTTGGTGTCCTTATCTAAAAATGAGGAGAATAGCACTCTCCTATGAATAGTTACAAAGATCAAATTAAAGAATGATCCAGGCTCTGATTTTCTCCTTCTCTCTCTCTCTCTCACACGCTCAAACTCATCCATTTTATTGGCTGACATCTAAGTGCTGACAATTGCCATATTTATATCTCCAGCCCAGACTCCCCTCCTAGACTCCAGACTCACAGCCAAAGCCCGTCTCTATGTGGATGTTTTACGGGCATCTCCAAGAGAGTATTTGAATTGTATCCCCTAAGCACAACCTGCTCCTCGCCTAGTCTCTGTTATGTGAATAATCCTCCCATCCACCCAACCGGTTTTTTTTTTTTTTAACTAGGTGAAATTTACATAACTCAAAGCTAGCCATTTTAAACTAACAATGTGTGGCATTTACTATCCTCATGATGATGTGCAAACTGTCACCTCTATCTAGGTCCAAAACATTTTCATCACTCCAAAAGGAAACCACTGAGCCATTAAGCAGTCAAGCCCCAGTCCCACTTCCCCCTCAGACCAGCACAAACACCAATCTGTTCTCTGTCTCTATGGATTTACCTCTTCTGGATGCTTCACATAAAGGGAATCATACAATATATAACCTTCGGTGTCTGGCTTTTAAAACATGCTTTCACATAGTATTTTTAAGGTTCACCCACATTGCAGCACGTATTAGTACTTCACTCCTTGTTATGACTGAGTAACGTTCTATTATATGTTACACTACATTTTATTTATTCAGTCACTTACTGATGGAGCTGCCAGACTTTCAGTAGCCAACGAATCTTAAGCCATAAGGCTGGCCACCACCCTTCATCCCCTCCCCCTTCCCATATTCCCTGCATTTAAATTATCAGCAAATCCTATCCATTTTGCTTCCTAAATAGAGCTCAAATCCTTTTACTTTTCTCCAACACTATTGCTGTCCTTTAGCCCAGACACCAATATATCTCTCACTGAGCTTCCAACTGTGACAAGATCTCATTCTTTCTTCTCTCTATTCCACTTCTCACCTGGTAGCTGAGATGGGCTCATTTCAAAACATAAACCAGATCATCCATTCATTTAGGCAATATTTACTAAGCACCTTTCTTCAAGGAGTTTGCCTCCCAGAGGCATAACAGACAACACACAAATATACACTATTATATCAGGTTTAAAATCCTTCAATGATTCATTGCACTTCAGATAAAAATCTAAGCTCAGCATGGCCTCCAAGACTTCATCGCCTTCTAACTCATCTCAGGCCACTCCACACAATCTGCCCACTATGTGCTCCAACCACAGTGGGCTCCATTCCTCCACCTCATGGTCTTTGAATTTAAGCTGTTCTCTCTGCCTCTTGATCTTGGCATTGCTGGATCTTTCTCGTCCCCCACATCTCAGTGTAAATATCACTCCTTTGGGAGACCTTCCCTGACTACCCTGTTAAGCACATCCACCCTTCATTCATGTCACTCATTTAAGAAATACGTGCTAAACCCTGTGGTAGGCTCCTGGGATGAAGCAACGTATGATCCCCTGGAGTCTGCAGTCTAAAGGGGAGGACCAACAATAGGAAAGTAAGTGAAATAGATAAATGACTGTTACGAAGGGAGAATAAAAAGGAGGGAGTACAGAAGGCCTTTCCGAGAAGGTTATATTGAAGCTGAAAGACAAGGAGTCAATTGGACAAAGAGCCTGTTATTCTCTATCACATCCTGGCTATGCAATGCAATGTTCCATCCCTCAACACTTGCTTTTGATGAATCCAAGTATTTAATGTCCATCTCCTCTAACAGACTGAGCTTTCTCCCCAGCACCTACGACAGCACCTGCCCCTCAAGAGGCACTCAACACACATTGATTAATTAATTAGTGGATGAATGAATGATTAATCAATCAATCCACCAATGAAAGCACTTTGGAAAGTAGAACAAATCACAGAGTTGTGAGTGATTGTTCTCACTATTATAATTATTATTTTGTGGCAAAAGAACATCAACTCTGTTGGGTTTTGGAAGAGACTGGGTTTACTTTAAAATGAGAATAAAAGTACCTAAGTTGGAGTATTACTGGACAACTAGGAGAGAATGTATATACATAATAAACACTCAAAAATGGGAAGCAGTAGTTTTTGTGGCTATTATTAAAAGCTCCTCACAAAAGCTGACTCAACTCAAATTCCAAAACTCATTTTCAGGTGCAGTCACGAAATTTAAAGGTGAGAGAAATGAATACTTTTAAGATATCTACTACACACCAGGTACAGTAAAAAGCACTACCTCATTTGTGAGGTAGTGTAGCGGATGCCCTGGGGAAACTCTCAACCCCCCTTCAAGACCAAGACACTCATGACTTCCCCATGTCCAGCTGCCAGAGTGTTGGTTACTCCAGCTCTCAGCTGAGTACCTAGTCAGGAACTGGCCTGCTGAAGGGACATCCTAGCTCCCTTCCTAGGGTCAGCCTGCACCCACTGGCTGATCAACATTCAGCTTCAAAGGCCTCGTCCCTTTGTCTCATGGGATGGATTGAGGCCTCTCTTGCACTACACCATAGATCAACATCTCCCTCTGCCCAATCCTGCTTCCCTTATCTGCACACAAATCTCAGAAGTGCCAAGTCTTTCTCCAGGGAACCTGACCCATGACAGATGAGTATGACGATTTCCTTTTAAATCAGAAAAAGAAGGTTCATGAAGGTTGCTAATGTCCCCAAAGCCTATGGCTAAAGTGACATTCTAGTCTGATTTCCCAGCTAGCCCTTGTTCTTTCTACTACACCAATCTACACACAGCCTTGCCTCCAATGGCTGAGACTGGGTCTCTGTGAAACAGAAAGGGGAGCCCAGGGAGAGCAGAAGGGCACACAGAGGGCCTGAAGATGAGAAAAGAAGAGCAGAGGCACCCTTCAGAGTCCTGATGACAAGACCGAGGTCACAAGGCTCCAGAAACAATATCAAACTGATGTGCAGGCTGCAAAAGCAAGCATTACACAGACAGCATCTCTTCGCCTGAATCCATGTCCAGAAGCCAGGGAGCAGGGCTCCCGGGCAGAGGGGGCTCCCTTAGGCGGGGAAGAGCATTTGCAGCCAAGGTCCAAAAAGTGACTACAACTTACCAGCTTTCTGATGCTCCGGTCTCCATCCGTTGTCCCCAGAGCTGCCAGAGAGACCTGATCACTGATCAGAAATCTTCCACGGCCCTCCTTCATTCCAGGATAAAATTCTAAATATTCTAAGGCTGCACTTGAAGGTCTGTGCATGTTTTAGCTCCCTGCCATGTCGACAACTTATTTCCTACCTATAACAAGACCCGGTCCTACTCCATTATCTGCTGTAGAATTATCTGATGTTCTAGGTCAGGACACCGGACCTTTTCAGTTTCTTTACCTTTACACAAGAAAATCCACCTGGAATTCCTGCTCCCCATCAACTCCCACCCCCAACACACTTTTCAGCCAGGCAAAACCTCCGACTTCTAGTCAATGGTCACCTACTCTCTGAAGCCTTCCTGGCTTCCTCACCGTCCTCTTCTCCATCTCGAGTCTTCCGCACTACCCTGCACTGCAATTGCTCCTCCTACTGTCCCTCTTAGCCCCGGGAGCTCCCCAAGGCCATTCTTCATGCTGCTAGGGCTTGGCACCGTGCCTGGCACTCAGAAAGAGCCAAGTAAGTGCTGGATAGATACACGAGGTGCTGTATCCAGAGCTATTCTCTGCTTCTAGCTTGGCCAGGGAACCACTCTGAGATTTCGTCCTGCCCCCAGGCTGACTGGAAATTGGCCACAGCGTGACAAATCTGACCCCCCAAACCCAAGGCAACAGGTCATGAGGGGTCTGGGGACCTAAGGCAGGTCCTAGGAGCCGGCGCAGAGCAGAGGTCCAGCCGCTGCGGTTTCTGGTTTCCCGCAAGCTCTTCCCCGGGCCGGGCGCTGGGTGGAGGCAGTCTTAGGATCCAGTCTTGCGCGCCCCCGGCTCCCGGGCCGGCAGACGGTCCCCGCACGCCGATCTGTCTGTCCCAGGGACCGGCCCAGGGCCCCGGCAGCGGCAGCCTGGGGAGACACCGTAGAGCGCGGCTCCCTGCCTCCCTACCTGCCCCTGCGTTCGCCCGCATCCCGCGGACACAGAGCCGGAGCTCCAGGGGACGCAGCCCGACGCGAGAACGCACCAACAGCCCCCGCTCGGGGTGGGGTCTCCCGGCTGTCAGAACCCTACAAAGTCTACTTTGCGGCGGCGCGCCGCTTACCGTGCGAGCCGCCAGGAACTCGGCGCCCGGTGGTGCCTCGGCGCGGCGCCCGCCAGTAGATCCGCTCCGGGTCCCGGGAGCTCAGCCTCTGCCCCTCACCGCGCGCGAGCGCCCCCGCCCGGCGGCCCGGCCTCCCCGCGCCGCGGCGCCCCATTGGCTCGGGCAAAGAGGCCCCCGGACGGCCCCGCCCACCCGCGCCCACTCCCTCGCCCACGCCTCTCCCCTCCGCCCTGCCGGGTTCACCTCTCCAGGCGGGGAAAGTTGCTTCTAGACTCTGAGCTCTCACCGGGCTGAGGAGCCCAGTTAACTAATAATTCTGGGTCTCAGGAGTGTCTAGACGCCCCTCGGGGAGTACGAAGACTGCAGTGTCCTTGGAATCCACCTTCGGGAAAGTCAGCTGACCTCCCGGACCTCAAGTGGCACCTCAGAGAAACCAGGGCCCCTGGTCTGCAAACGTCCCAGACTGTGGGCTAGGTCCTAGGGCCAGACTGCAACAGGGAGCAAGACAAAGTCTATCGTCCTCGTGAACTTTGCATGGGGTGGGGGAAGGGGTAGGTTATATACAACAAACGAAAAAAACAAGAGAATGTCGGCCGGGCGCCTGTGGCTCACGCCTATAATTCCAGCACTTTGGGAGGCCGGAGCGAGTGGATCACGAGGTCAGGAGTTCCAGACCAGCCTGGCCAAGATAATAAAACCCCGTCTCTACTAAAAATATAAAAATTAGCTGGGCATGGTGGTGCGCGCCTGTAGTCCCAGCTGCTCGGGAGACTGAGGCAGAATTGCTTGGACCCGGAGGCAGAGGTTACGGTGAGCCGAGATAGCGCCACTGCACTCCGGCCTGGACAGCAGAGCTAGATGCCGTCTCCGGAAAGAGAGAGAAAGAAAGAGAGAAAAGAAAAGAAAGAGATCTAGGACTGCAATACCCAGGGTGGTCTCTGGGACACTTGTGATATTTGATAGTTGGAGGACAAAAACGATTCCAGGGCTGAAGCAGGAGCATTGCTGACAGAGGGGTCGGCAGATGTATGGTTCTGAAGCTGGAACTGGCCCCCAGGATGGTTGAGTGAGGTGAGCAAGGGGAGAGTGGGTTATGGCCAGAGAGGTAGACTAGTGTGGAATCACCATCACCCAGAACCTTGTAGGCCACCGTGAGGATCAGGGATTCATCATACCAATCTGGAGGGAACAATTCAGGCAAGAGATTATGGTGATGAAGACCAGGGTGGTGACAGCAAGATGGGGAAAAGGTGGAGCCACTAAAATGTGTGTCAAAAGTAGCACAGGAAGGCTTGATGATGGATTAGGCTGGATTTAGGGGATGGTGTGGTTTGAATGTGACCCCCAAAGTTCATATGTTGGAAACTTAATCCCCAATGCAACAGTGTTGAGAGGTAGGACCTTTAAGAGGTGATTCCATTAATGCCAGGAGTGGTGAGAGGTAGTTGAGGTAGTTGAGAGGTAGGTGAGAGGTAGTTGAGGTAGTTGAGTGTTGAGAGGTAGGACGAGGTAGTTGAGAGGTAGGTGAGAGGTAGTTGAGTGTTGAGAGGTAGGACCTTTAAGAGGTGATTCCATTAATGCCAGGAGTGGTCCTCTCCCCACTCCTCTGCTGCTCTCTTGTTCTGTCTTGTGATGCCTTGTGATGCCTGGGATGACTCAGCATGAAGGCCCTTACCAGATGCAGCCCCTCAATCTTGGACTTCCCAGCCTCCAGAGCCATAAGCCAAATAAATTGTTGTTCCTTATAAATTACCCAGTCTGTGATATTCTGTTATAGTGGCACAAAATAGACTATGACAGAGGTTGACATAAAGGGATGAAAGAAGAAAATCTCCTAGGTGTTTAACTTGAGCCACTGTGGAGTAATGGTACTATTACCAAGATCAGGAAGGTTCTCACCCAGCATCTTCCACTTACTGCATGAGCTTTAGTACATGATCTCAGTCACTAAGAGGGAGTGACTCTAACCTCAGTAACTAAGAGGGCATAAGACTAGCTGAAGGATCCCAAACTTTAATACTGATGTGGCTGGGTAGTCATGTACTAAGTGAGGTTGGCAGGGTGTAATAGAAAGGAGGGGTGGGGCTTGTGACAGACTGAGGTATGCACACCTGCCTAAGGGTACAGTCACTGCTCAGTTCCAACTGATTTTTGCCAAATGGGAATGGAGACCCAGAGTTGCCAGATGTTCTGTTTTTTGTTTGTTTGTTTGTTTTCTATCAAGACTGAGTCTTGCTCTGTCACCCAGGCTAGAGTGCAGTGGCACCATCTCGGCTCACTGAAACCTCTGCCTCCTGGGTTCAAGCAATTCTCCTGCCTCAGGCTCCAGAGTAGCTGGGATTACAGGCACCCACCACCACACTTGCCTAAGTTTTGTATGTTTAGTAGAGACGGGGTTTCACTATACTGGCCGGACTGGTCTGGAACTCCTGACCTCATGATACACCCGCCTTGACCTCCCAAAGTGCTGGGATTATAGGCCTGAGCCACTGTGCCAGACCTTGATTTTTATAATGAGGCCAGAAATTCAGATTGTGTTAAAGCTCTAGTTTTTTAAATGCTGGTAATTAACTAAAACTTTTTTTTTTTTTTTTTTTGAGACAGAGTCTTGTTCTGTCACCCAGGCTGAAATGCAGTGGCGCGATCTCGGCTCACTGCAAGTGCCGCCTCCCGGGGTTCACACCATTCTCCTGCCTCAGCCTCCCGAGTACCTGGGACTACAGACGCCCACCACCACACCCAGCTAATTTCTTTGTATTTTTAGTAGTTTCACCTACTAAAATCACTAACGGGGTTTCACCGCATTAGCCAGGATGGTCTCGATTTCCTGACCTCATGATCTGCCCGCCTCGGCCTCCCAAAGTGCTGGGATTACAGGCGTGAGCCACCGTGCGTGGCCAATTAACTAAAACTTTTTAAAAGACTGTATTGGCCAAGACTGTTGGACAAGATCAAACCCATGTATAGTCTGGATTTATCCCCTTAGTAACTATTTCCACCTCTGGATTAGACAATACCGTCAGCCCTTTAAAGAAACCCTCATAGTGTCTGTCCAGATTGGATGAGAACAGTAATGGGAAACAAGAGGATCAAACCCAGCATAGTCTTTAATGGCATTTGACCCGCCCCTACCTCCATCTACCTGGCATATATCTTCTAAGCCTCAGTTTCCCTCAGGCTAGAGCACAGCTCCTCCAAGACTTCTCCCAACTATAACCTTTGGAGCTATAACATCATTGTAATTTTTCTTAACTACTGGTTTTCAAATATGCACAGGAATGTTGCTTGGGGAAACATGGAAGGTGTGTGCTCATGTCTGGGTCTGAAAATCTAAATGTCCTCAGTACTGTCAATCTGAAGCAAGGAAGGAAAGAGGAAGCAGAATGAGATAGAGGTTTATATGAGAAGCCAGGCAAATTATTGCATGGAAAATTATTTTTTATTGCACTCTGAATAAGAAAAAATGGCAATTAGATGCAGGGGCGCTTAATGGTTTCTACTGAAAATTCAATGTATTGTAGCCACTTCTCAATATATATCACCAACGGTTTTGCAGTAATGAGGTTCTCCCATCATGCATTGGAGGTCAGCTGCATTCTAGCGTTATTTATTCTTATGTACTGAGCTCATGTAATGAAAAACGCCTGAAAACAGAAAATCACCTTCTGTAGAGTCAGTCCCTTTTGCTATCTCCTCCACCTTAGACATCATTTAAAGCTGGAGAAATGGCTTATGATTTTATAAATTGCTGAGTTTTGTGTAAGAGGGTCAACATGGATTAGGAACCAGGAGACCTGACACTGAGCCCTTGAATAAGTTCTCTGAACCTTCTTCATCAGTAGAATGAGAGCTGACAAAAGGTAGCTTCCTAGAAGATTTTTAAATTTCTATTTGTACTCCATGTTTCTTTTGGGGGAATTTTTTTTTTTTTTTTTGGTATGGTGACCTGGCAATTCCCAGAGACAGATTCTTTCACAATTTGCCACTCCCCAACTCCCCCAAAAATCCTTGAAGAAAGGATGTCGTCTAAGTTGAGCCAATTGGATGCTCACTCCTGGGACTTTCCCTCTCCCCAAAGTGACAAAGATGAAGAGAGAAATTGGACATAAGACTGCTTGCTTACAATGATGGTGGTGGCAGCAGTTTCCTGGACTCTTGGTCGTGAATCTTGTCGCCCAACCTCAAGAATTTCCTAGATTTCTGTTTCTCAAGTCTGGTCCTGCCATCCCTGTCCCCTACCCAATCTTATTTTGTGAGCCTCCCATCTCTGTTAAACTGTCTTCTTGTGTTAGCCACTCCAATTATTTCTCTTGCTTTTAACCAAAAATCCTCATGGATCTAGGAAGACAAGAAACACATTGCATCATATGATCCTTTCCCCAGGGCAGCAATTCAGCACAGGAATTTGCATACAGATGGATGCACACAGGGTGATAGGTATACACGTTCCCTCACTACTCAGTAAGAAATCCAACCCCGTGGGGTGGTGGTGGTAGTGTTTAAAAGGTTATTTGTTTTTTAAAAGAACCCAAGTCTGCTATTCTTAACAGACTTTTTTTTTTAAGTGAGCAGGCTCTTATAATAACAAAACCACTCTAGAAATAGCCCTCTCGTATGTAAATTTTGTAGTTTTTCAAAGTACTTTCATATAAATTCCCTCATTTCATATGCACTCCTGTGAAGTAGGCAGAATAGATAGTATTCACAGTTTATAGATTATTATAATCATAGATACCATTTACTGAACACAT